GTCATGCAGAAGCATCCAAAGAAGATGAAAGGAATACATAGTCACTGTACCAAAAAGGGTCAATGCTCACCCATTTCAAGAGCTAGCATATGATCAAGAACTGATAACACTGAAGGAAGAAGTGTAAGCTGCACTGAAGGCGTCGACAACAAAACAGCACTCTTGGCATTGCCTAAATACAAATAGAAATATTTCGACAAACTGATACAGCACTGGAGGCACTTACTCATCTATGCCAATAAATTTGAAAGACTGTCATTTGACCAAACAATTGAAAGAAATCTATATTTTTGCCTATTCCCAAGAAAGGTGACCCAGTGGAATGCAGAACTCATTGATAAACGTCATTAATATCACATGCAAGTAAAATTTCTCTGAAGATAATAATAATAATAAAATGATTGCAGTAGTATATTGACAGGGAGGTGCTGGATTCAGAAGAGGATGTGCAGTGAGGGATATCATTGCTGACATCAGATGGATCTTGGCTGAAAGCAGAGAATACCAGAAAGATATTTACTTGTGTTTTATTGACTGTGCAAAGGCTTTCAATTGTGCAGATCATGATAAGATGTGCACAACATTGCAAAGAATGGGTATTCCAGAACACTTTAATGTGCTCATGAGGAACCTGTACACAGACCAAAGAGAACAAGGGGCTACTGAATGGGTTAAAATCAGGAAAGGTGGATGCCAGGGTTGTATCCTTTCACCATGCTTTTTCAATCTGTATGCAGAGCAAATAATCCCAAAGATGGATTATATGAAGAAGAGCACGGCATCAGGATTAGAGGAAGACTCATTAACAACCTGCCATATGGAGATGATGCTACCTTGCTTGCTGAAAGCGAAGAGGACTTAAAATACTTACTGAAGAAGACCAAAGACTACATCCGTCAGTATGATTACACCTCAATATAAAGAAAATGAAAATCCTCGCAACGGGACCAATAAATAACATCAGTAAATGGAGAAAAGATTGAAGTTGCCAAAGTCTTCATTTTGCTTGAATTCACAATCAGCTCATAGAAGCTGCAGTCAAGAAATCAAATGATGTCTTATATCAGGCAAGATCTTGCTGCACAACGTCTCTTGAGAGTGTCAAAGAGCGACGATATCAGTTTGAGAACTAAGGTGTGCCTGACCTAAACTGAGATATTTTCAGTTGCCTCATATGCATGTGAAAGTTGGACAATGAGTAAGGAAGACCATAGAAGAATTGATGCATATGGTGTTGAAAAAGAATATTAGAAGTACTATGAACTGCCAGAAGAACAAACAAATCTGTTTTGGAAGAAGTGAAGCCAGATGCTCCTTAGAAGCCAGGATGACAAGACTTCGGAGATGTTATCATTAGGAGCCAGTCCCTGTAGAAGGGCATCATGCTTGGTAAAGTGGAGGATCATCAGAAAGTAGGAAGATTGCCCAATGAGACGGATTGATACAATGGCAGTAGCAGTGGGTAACAATTGTGAGGTTGGCACAGGACTGGTTAGTGGTTCATTCTGTTGTGCACAGGGTAACTATGAGTCAGAACCGACTTGACGGCACCAAACAACAAAAAGAATGGATGGACAGTTGGGTTATCTTTATATTTTCATTCGTACACATGGGACTATCATAAATAGTCCCAAACATGTCTTTTGGTGAACATGTGTGTGGATGTGTTTATGGTAGGTTAGACCAGAAGTGGAATCCTGGAACATGAGGTTGGTTTATGGGCAACTTCAATAGATAATTCCAAAGAGTTTTCCAAAAGTGGTTATACCATTTATATTTCTACTCTTTGATGGAGTATTTTAAAGGTTATCCCTTGCCTTTGGAGTGTTTGGGTTGGTGTTTTTTGAGTGTGTGGAAGAGGAGTTGTTGAAAATATATACAGCAAAACATGCCACCAGCTCCACAGTGCCTGCACGTACCAGCGACATTGACGACATTCTTCATGTTGTATCATCATTCTCAGCCTCCTTTTCTGAGTTGTTCCTCCCCCATGAACATAAGCTCACTGAGGTTCCTATCTAATCGTTCAAGTTGCTGTGGTCAGCAGTTCAAGCTCACCAGCCACTCCTTGGAATACTTATACTGGGCCTCTATGAGTCGGAACCAACTTGACAGAACTTAACAACAACAACAATATTGAAAAAAACTACCCACTGCCATTGAGTTAATTCCAGCTCATAGCCATCCTAAAGGACAGGGAAGAACTACTCCTTGAGGGTTCTGAGACTGTAAATGTTTACAGAAGCTGATAGCCTCATCTTTCTCCCACAGAAGAGCTGGTGGGTTTGAACCACTGACCTGGCAGTTATCAGCTCAGTCCTATCCCACTGCACCACCATGGTTCCTTTGATCCCATATGGTTGTGAATTTCGGTCACGTCTGTTCTGACTCAAAGACACCCGGTATGGGGTCTCTGAGAGGTGACTGGTGGGTTTAAACTGCCAACCAAGTGGTTAGCAGCCCTATAGTGCCACACCATGTTGTTGTTAGGTGCCATCGAGTTGGTAGCGATTCATAGTGACTCTGTGCACAACAGAGCAAAACACTGCCCGGTCCTGTGCCAACCTCACAATTGTTACGCTTGAACCCATTGCTGCTGTCACTGTGCCAACCCATTTCATTAGGGGCCTGCCTCTTTTTCTCTGACCCTCCACTTTACCAAAACTAATACCCTTCTCCAGGTACTGGTCCCTCCTGATAGTATGTCCAGAGTATGAGAGACAAAGTCTGGCCATCCTGGCTTCCAAGGAGCATCCTGGCTGTACTTCTTCCAACACAGATTGGTTTGTTCTTTTGGCAGTCCATGGTATTTTCAATATTCTCCTCCAACACCATAACTCAACTATATCAATTATTTTATATTCTTCCTTATTCATTGTCCAACTTTCACAGGTATATGAGGTTATTGAAAATACCATGGCTCAGGTCAAGTGCACCTTAGTACTCAAACTGACATCTTTGGTCTTCAACACTTTAAAGAGGTCTTGTGCAGCAGATTTACTTAATGCAAAATGTCATTTGATTTTTTGACTGCTGCTTCCCTGAGTATTGATGGTTGATGTAAGCAAAATGAAGTCTTTGACAACTTCAATCTTTACTCCATTTATATGGATGCTGTTTATTGATCCAATGATGAGAGTTTATGTTTTCTTTACATTGAGGTGCAACCCATACAGAAGGCTGTGATCTTTGATGTTCATCAGTAAGTATTTTAAGTTCTCTTTGCTTTTAGCAAGCAAGGTAGTATCATCTGCATATTGCAGGTTGTTAATGAGTCTTCCTCCAGTACTGATGCCACATTTTTCTTCATATAATCCAGCTTCTTGAATTATTTGCACAGCATACAGATTTAATAAGTATGGTGAAAAAATATACCCAGACACACCTTTCCTCATTTTAAACCATTCGGTGTTCCTTTGTTCTGTTCGAACAATTGCCTCTTGGTCTATATACAGGTTCCTCATGAGCACAATTAAGTGTTTCAAAATACTCATTCTCTGCAGTGTTGTCCATAGCTTGTCATGATTCACACAATTGAAAGCCTTTTCATAATCAGTAGTGCACAGGGAAATATCTTTCTGGTATTTTCTGCTTTCAGCCAAGATCCATCTGACATCAACAATGATATCCCTCATTTCATGTCTTCTTCTGAATCTGACTTGAACCTCTGGAAGTTCTCTGTCAATGTATGGTTGCAGCCATTTTTGTATTATCTTTAAAAAAATTTTATTTGCATGCTATATTAATGATACTGCCTGATGATTTCCACATTCCGTTAGGTCACCTCTCTTTGGAATGGGCACAAATACGGATCTCTTCCAGTGAGTTGGCCAAGTAGTTGTCTTCCAGATTGATGAGTGAGTGCCTCTAGTTCTGAATCATTTTGTTGAAAGGTTTCAATTTGTATTCCATCAATTCCCGGGGCCTTGTTCTTTGCCAATGCCTTCGATACACCTTAGACTTCTTCCTTCAGTATCATTGGCTCTTGATCATATGCTACCTCTTGAAATGGTTGAACACCAACGATTTCTTTTTGGTACAGTGACTGTGTATTCCTTCCATCTTCTTTTGATGCTTTCTGCATCATTCAATATTTTGCCCAGAGAATCCTTCAGTTTTGTAAGTCGAGGTTTGAAATGCTGCGCATATTCTTCCTTTTTGGTTTTCTAATTCCAGGTCTTTGCACATTTTGCTCTGTCTTCTCAAGCTGACTTTGAAATTATCTATTGAGTTTTTTACCTCCTCATTTCTTCCATTTGCTTTAGCATCTTTATGCTAGAGAGCAAGTTTCAAAGTCTCTTCTGACATCCATTTTGGTCTTTTCCTTCTTAATGACTTTTTGCTTTCTTCCGATATGATGTTCTTGATGTCATCTCACAACTCTCCTGGTCTTCGGTCTTTAGTATCTAATGCATCAAATCTGTTCTTCAGACGATCTCTAAATTCAGGTGGGATTCCATATAGATAGTTCTTAACAGAGTATAATGCTCAAAGCAGACATTTTTTACTATTTTAGCTAAACTCTTGTTTTAGGTGTTTTTTGTTTAAACTTTAAAATTTTTACTTATTTTGTTGTTGAGAATATATTCAGCAAAACACACACCAATTCAACAGCTTTGCCTTTGTAGTGTTTTAAAAGAAGGAAAAACTTGGTCTGATTAACATTTTTATTTTTACTGATTAGTTTTAAATATTTTAATCATTGATTTACATTTTTAAATTGTTCTTGTTCCTGACAAGGCAAATATTTGTCAGGAAAGAGAAGGTAATTAAAGAATAAGCCCCCCTGGGACCACAGATTGGATTCTCTGGTCCCCTGGGCTGGGAGACACTTCCTGGGAGCCCTGAGCTCAGGGAGACTGTTCAGAAACCCCACGGTCCACATCTCGATGTCCCATGTCCAGCTATGCTTTGGAGCCCCTTCTTGGCTTCAGCCCCTCAGGGCTCAGCACCAGCACCCAGATTCAGGCTGTCTGTCTGTCTGTCCCCCTCCCTGCCAGGACATACAGCAGCTTCTGCAGCTCCAGCAGCTGGTGCTCGTACCAGGACACCACCTCCAGCCACCTGCTCAGTTCCTGCTGCCACAGGCCCAGCAGACCCAGCCAGGTAAGGCTCCGCTATAAGGCCTCTTTGGAACCTCCCCAGAACTTGCTTCTCCTCCCCTTCACATGTTCCTCCTTCCTTCCCCAGGCCTGCTACCTACGCCAAATCTATTCCAGCTACCTCAGCAAACCCAGGGGGCTCTTCTGACCTCCCAGCCCCGGGCCGGGCTTCCTACACAGGTGAGACTGCTCACTGGGGGCAAGGGTGGGCCTGGCCTACAGCCACCACAAGCCAAGACAGTAGTCCTGGGGCCCAGCCCAGCTCTGCCACTGACTTGCTGTAGGTTCCGAGGCAAGCCATTCTCCCTCTCTGGGTCCCCTTCCTCCTCCAGGGAGTAAGGGCGTGGCACTAGACCAGTGGGTTCTAAGCTTTTCAGACACATAGAGTCCTTTGAGGAATCTGAGGAAAGCCTTGAACTTGACCCCTATCCTATATCACCCTCAAATGCACATGTGCACAACCACAGCAGATTCTAGGAGGTTTGCAAGCCTTTGTTTAAGTTAAGTGTGCCTTGGGTCTCCTTAGGCACAGCACGGGGAAGGTTCTCTGGAGAAGGGTACCAATTCACATCCACTTTCTAAACCGGAGATTGAAAGTGGGGCCCACCCTCAGACCTCCCTATTTGGCCCACATCGTATTTTCTATTATTGAATTAATCGCCAACGAAATTCTCAGAAACAGCCAGGTTGCCACTTGCTCTTGACAAACCTGATAATCTGTAGGTCTGGGTCTACCTGGTGGGCAGCGAACAGCAGCTGGTCTGAGGTGGGGACAGGCTTGCCAGGTCATCTTGGCAGCCACCTGGCTAGCTTTGCTCATTCATGTTTCCGGTCCCCAGTCACAGAGCCTTGTTTTCAGTTTTTTGCTCAAATCTTAGACTGGAATCATGATAATCTCTTATGATTCTTTTATGGATTTCCAAGTTTTTTCCTGCCCAGTTTTTCTTTTCTAACCCTTTAAAAATGCAGAATGAAAAGTTTCGAGACAAATAAAGATCTTGGCTGCTTGTTTGAAATCCAAAATGCTCTGAAACTCAAGTTGTTGTCTTAGAACATTGGCAACAGTTTTCATTTGGTTGCAAAATATGAATTGATCTGAGGCAGAGTATGGTCTTTCTTTATCCTCTTAGTGATACAGCCAGGCTTTCCTGCAGAGCGGTGGCCCTGTCTAATGCGGGTGGCACCCTGGGCCCTGGTGGACCTGTGATATATATACCCTGCATGAACTTTCTTTTCTTTTGAAATATTTTATTGTGTTTTCAGTGGAAGTTTACACATCAAATTAGGTTCGCATTTGACAGTTTGTGCACAGAGTGTTCAGGGACATGAAGCGTTTTTCACAGTATGTCGGCATTCTCTTGAATTGTGTTCTGGTTGCTCTGTTTCCTGTACTCTAGTTTCCCTGTCCTCTTATCTTCTTATCTTTGCTTTAGAGAAAATGCTGACCTTTTTGGTTTCATTAAAGGTTTTTAAAGGGAGCACTGTAATCAACAAGTAATATTTTTTATTTTATGAGTCAATCTGTTATTTTGCTCAAAGGTGATCTTGGGATAGTTTCAATCCAAGGTTTAAAGGGTGTTTCAGGGAGTCTTCTAGTCTCAGATGACCCAGTGATGATGGTGGTGGTGTGCGGTGGAGTCAGTTCCAATTTATAGCCACCCTGTACAGGGTTTCTGAGGCTGTAAATCTTTACCAGAGCAGAAAGTTTCATCTTTCTCCCACAGAACAGCTGGTAGTTTTGAACTGCTGACCTTGAGGTCCGCCGCCTGATTCGTAACCTCTATGTTACCAGAGCTCCTAGTCTCAGCTGAGCCAGTAGATCTGAAATTTTGTTTTCCAACTTTTATTGTGATTTAAGTGAAACTTCACAGAGCAAATTGGGTTTCCTTTCATTAATACATACACATTTCGTGATATTGATTGCAGTCCCTACAACATAAACTAAATGTTTACCACTTCTGATTATCCTCCTTTCCTTTCCCTTTCTGTCTTCTGAGCTTTGTTGTTAAATGTTGTTGAATCAGTTCCGGCTCATAGCCACCTTGTATAGGGCTTCCTAGGAACGGCTGGAGAGATTGAACCACCGACCGTGCGGTTCAAACCGACCTTGCAGTCCAGCGCATTAACCTGCAGCCCCACACTGCAAACGCTGCCCTTTTTTTTTTTTAAATGTTTTATTGTGAATTATGTGATAGTTTACATGGGAGAACATTAGTTTTACATGTTTCAGTGCCATGGTTACAATCCCTCCATGCATCATCAACCAGCCAAAGGGTATATCCTACAAGAAACGCTGCCCTTTGGTGGCGTGCGTTTGATTGTTCTAAGGAACGTGTACCTCTCTGTTATTGTTCATCTTGTAGGCCTGTCTAATGTTTGGCTGTAAGTTAAGCCATTGGGCTTTTTAAGGGGTGGAGCTCTGTTCTTTGGTTGTTCTCCTGTGCTGTAGGAGCCCATCTATCGTGGCGCCAACTAGAACAGTCAGCAGTGGTAACCGGGCACCATCTAGTTCTCTCTGCTCTCAGGGTAGACTAGACTGTGGCTCACGTAGGCTCTTAGCCTATGGGCTAGTTTCTCCTAGAAACTAGATTTTGGTTTTGCACATGTGGACTTTCTAAAACCCAAACAATTCTGAATTCCCAAACACATCAGGCTCCAGGACTTTAAGGGGTCCTGGATAATACTAAAAGACCTTGGACTACCACCTTTTTACCATATTTGTTTTCAGAGAGGTGAAGTGTTTCAGATAAATTCTTGCTTCTCTGTAAATCCCCCTAATCATCCTCCCTGTCCAGTTTTTCTAATTTGACTTTATGTGCCACCTGCTCATCTGTCACATGACTCTCCCAATAACCACATAAGGGCAGCAGAGCAGTAGTGATTCCCAACCTGCAGAGGGGGAAACTGAGGCCCAGAGAAATTGAGAAGCTTGTCCTGAGCTGTGCAGAAAAATGGTGACCGAACCAGGCTTGGCTTCCCTAGTGGAGATGAGGATGGGCCCACTGCCCCAGCCCCCAAGACAGAACCCTTCATTCCAAGGGTCCCGAGCACACATCTGGGAATGTGTAGGCAGAGGAGGGGACCACAGAGAGGGAGGGACCTTCAGCCATTGCTGGGCCCCATCGTGGTCCTCCATCCTGCATCCCACCCACTCCCCACCCCACTAGGCCGTGACCCGCCCCACGCTGCCCGACCCGCACCTCTCGCACCCGCAGCCCCCAAAATGCTTGGAGCCACCGTCTCATCCCGAGGAGCCCAGCGACCTGGAGGAGTTGGAGCAGTTTGCCCGCACCTTCAAGCAACGCCGCATCAAGCTGGGCTTCACACAGGTCTGGGCCAGCCTTGAAGGAGGGGTGGGAGGCTTGTGGCCAGCTGCTGAGCGTGAGTCCTGGGCACAGTGCTGTCCAGCCCTGACCTCTGCCCCGTCCCCTCTCTCCACTGGTCCAGGGTGATGTGGGTCTGGCCATGGGCAAGCTGTACGGCAATGACTTTAGTCAGACGACCATCTCCCGCTTTGAGGCCCTCAATTTGAGCTTTAAGAACATGTGCAAACTCAAGCCCCTCCTGGAGAAGTGGCTCAATGATGCAGGTGAGCCTGGGCTGGGGCTTCTAGGTGGGTAGCGGGCGGCGGGCAGCGGGCGGCGCCCTCTCATGCCACCCTCCTCTCTTCCCTGTGCACAGAGACTATGTCTGTGGACTCCAGTCTGCCCAGCCCCAACCAGTTGAGCAGTCCTAATCTAGGTTTCGATGGGCTGCCCGGCCGGAGACGCAAGAAAAGGACCAGCATTGAGACAAACGTTCGCTTCGCCTTAGAGAAGAGTTTTCTAGCGGTGAGACCACACGCAGTGCTAGGCGGCCTTGGGGCGGGGCTGGTGGGCGGACCTGCCGAGCTGACGAATCCTCTGCCCGCAGAACCAGAAGCCTACCTCAGAGGAGATTCTGCTGATCGCTGAGCAGCTGCACATGGAGAAGGAAGTAATCCGTGTCTGGTTCTGCAACCGGCGCCAGAAGGAGAAGCGCATCAACCCCTGCAGCGCGGCCCCCATGCTGCCCAGCCCGGGGAAGCCGGCCAGCTACAGCCCCCACCTGGTACCCAGCATCCCCGCCCGTGCCCCTCAGCAGGCTTCTGTGGCCCATAGCACGTAGCAGAGAGTCAGGGCGACCCTCCCTGCGGAAAACAGAGAGGGGTACACATCTGTAGACATGGCACGGGCAGGGGGGGGAGGGGACACAGACCCCTCAGGCACACACTCAGAGACAGGAATAAGTGTTATTTGCCTGGTGGCACAGTGGTTAAGTGCACCGCTGCTAATCAAAAGGTCAGCAGTTCGAACCCATCAGCCGTGCTTAAGGAATGCTGTGGTCACCTATTTCTATGACAAATTACAGCCTAAGAAACCCTGTGGGGCAGTTCTGCTTGGTTCTGCAGGGATGCTAAGAGTTGGAAGTGACTAGAAGGCAAAATGTTTGGATTTGGACGACATTGCACCCATGCGTGTACACTCAGGCCCACCGACAGGCAGACCCACCCCATATCACACGTACCAGGAATCCCTGTATCCCATCTGGTGTGAAAAGGGCTGTGACCCAGAGGGGCAAGGAACCCAGAGAAACCCTCCCTGGGTTGATGGGGAAGAAGGTCCTGTCTGAGCTAGAGTTAAGGGACAAGAAGCCAGCCCTGTGAAGGAGGGCAAGAAGAAGGGTCTTCAGGTGGCTGGGCCAGTGTGCTCAAAGTCCAAGATGTCAGAGAGGGCCAAGCCCCATTGGAGGAACCCCAGTGCGATTTGGTTGACTTGTTAACCTCAAGGTTGGCGGTTCTAAGCCACTAGCCACTCTTCTGGAGAAAGATGAGGCTGCCTGCCACGCAAAGATTTACAGTCTCAACCAACCAGAACTAGGGTCACTATGAGTTAGCATGGACTCAATGACAGTGGGTCATTTGGATTAGTGCAATGTGACGTGGGGACTCAGAATACCTACGAAGAGTGTGTGTGTGCTTGTGAGGGACAGGGAGGGGCCAAACACCCCAAGTTTCAGGCATGAGGCGCTAAGGAGGAGTTTTGCACTGCAGGGAGGCATAGGGTCAAACTTAGATGGAGGCTTCTGGGTGAGACTGGAGGCAGGAAGGCCAAGGAGGCAGTGGGATGGATGGTCCTGGGAAACCCAGCAGTCTGACATTTCAACAGTCGGTTAGGGAGACACCGCTCATTCCCTTTCTTGTCACACACACGCATGCGCATATGCACACAGATACACACATGCACCAGGCCTGCTCCTTCCTGGCCTGAATCTCTCAGCGGTTTCTCTGCATGGCCTGCCAACCCCACTCCTCAAAGGACAGTGTTAGGACCCTCACTGTCCCCGCTCCCATGATCACAGGTGCTTTAGGGGCGCAGCCACTACATACAGGAAGAATATCAGACTGGAAAGTGTCACATGACAGGGTGAGGACCCATGCTCCAGGAGAATAACTGCTTCCTGCTGGTGATTTAGGGTGACCCGGGGTGACTGTGAAGACATAAATGGTGGAAGCATATAGCACAATGCAAATACCCATAAACACAATGTGGCCTTGGGCCCTGAGCCCCTCTCCCCGACCCACAGGGAGCATCAGAGTCTAACCATGCCTCCTCTCCTCTCTCCCCAGGTCACACCCCAAGGGGGCGCGGGGACCTTGCCGCTGTCCCAAGCTTCCAGCAGTCTGAGCACAACAGGTCAGGGAATGCAGAAGGTGGACAGGGGGCTGTGGGAGGACGCAGCGCAGGCTGGAATCCCAGGTTCTCCTCGGTTCTGGGTGCCTGTGGGTCTGGGGTGAGGGGGTATGAGATGGAGAGGGGCAAGCAGCCCTCCTCAGCCAGAGCAGTCAGCTTCAAGCTGCTCCACACAGTTTCCCTGAGCAAAGCATTGGGTTGCTAAAAGCTGATGTGCCTTCTGTTGTTCATAAGCTGTGTGAACGCAAGAAATTCCTTTACCTCTCTGAACCTCGGTTTTTATAAAGTCATTGTGAATGTATACTACCTACAGGAGACATGTATGGTGTGTGTGTCTGTGTGTGGTGTAAATAGTCAATGCAGTTGATAGTCAACCGAAAGGATGGACCTTTGAGTCCCCCAGAGGCTCCTGGGAGGAAAAGCCTGGTAATCCACCTCCAAAAATCAGTCTGATCCTCAACTGTTCATGGGGACACACAGGATGAGCAGTGTTTAATTCCACCATGGACTCATGGATGAGGTCGCCATGAGTCTGGGGCCAGCTTGACAGCAGCTAACAACCTGGTAACGCACTGGTTAAGTGCTTGACTGCTAACCGAAAGGTCAGCAGTTCGAACCCACCCCCAAGTGGCTCCAAAGGAGCAAAGACCTGGCTGACTTGTTCTGTGAAGATTGTTGTTGCTAAGTGCCGCCAGGTTGGTTCCGACTCAGCGATCCTGTATAGGGTTTCCAAGGAATGGCTGGTGGGTCAAACCCACCAGCCTGGGGGTTAGCAATCCAGTGCTTACCCTACAGTGCCACACCAGAACTAAAGATTGTTGTTGGTTCCTACTCTTAAAGACCCTTTGTAGGGTTTCCAAGGAGCAGCTGGTGGGTTTGAACTGCTGACCTTGTGGTTCAAAGTTCAGTGCTGATCCTACAGCACCACACCAGGAATCATACATATGTATATATGCATATATGCATATGCATTTATGCATATGTGTGTATATATATATATATATACATATGTATATATGGTTGTATTATACTTTCACAAGAGTGAATATGTGCACGTCCTCTTGTACTCAAAGTCCCCTCTTCTCCTTTTCAGGGGTGGGCCATGTTTAATACTGTATATGAGGGGACTTCCAAAAGTTTGTGGAAAAATGGGATTACAATATAATGGAATTTTCCCACGAACTTTTTGAATCCCCTTCATATATATAAGAATAATATAAAACAAATACCACATTGTCCCTGCTCAACATAAGAGATGCTAAGTGGAGGTTTGCAAAGTAGTTAAGAGCTCCAGGACCTCAGTGGCTAAGTGGAAGATGGTAGTTGGAACCCACCAGCCACTCAAGCACAAGAGGAAGATAGGACACTCTGCTTCCATAAAGACCACAGCCTGGCAAATACCAAAAGCAGTTCTCCTCTGTCCTAGAGGACTGCTCTGCTCCAGAGCAGTGGTGCAAAGTACTCAGGCTATACCTGGCATTGTTCTAAACTCTTTCTAAATTTAAAGAATTACTCATTGAATTCTCACACCCCTTTTATGATGCCAAACACAACCCAAACCAAACCCACTGCCAACAAGGAGATTCCAATTCCTAGTGACTAGAGAACAGCTCCTTAGGGTTTCTGAGACGGACAGTCTTCATGGGAGCAGACTGCCTCAGCTCTCTTCTGCAGAGGGGCTGGTAGGTTTGAACCACCGACCTTGAGGTTAGCAGCCAAATGCTTATCCCACAGCACCACCAGGGCTCTTCATTTTATTATAGGTTCATCCTCATTTTCTATATGAGGGAACTGAAAGGCAGAGAGGCAAAGTGAGGACTTGGCATCCAGGAATGCCCAGCCAGGGCTTGAGCGCTCACCCAGCTGTGTAACCTGCACACAAACACACAAACACACAACCTGCCCACCCCGCCCCTGGAGGGAGCCTGTGTCTTGACCCCCAACCCCCTTCTTTAATAGATATTGTGTGAGTGTGAGTATGGGGGCACATTGAGTGCATGCACACACCTGCTATAGGGCAGGGGGCTCAGGAGGGCAGCTGGTGCCCTCACTGTCCTTATTATAATAAGTGCCACCGTGGCAAAGGCACAAAGAAACTGTTCTGGGAAGAGAGGGCAGGGAGATCTGGCCTCGCCTGATTGGAGGGCTGTGTGAGGCGGCCCGGACGACGGGGGTCAGCTGAAGTCTCCATCTCTCTTGTCTCTCTGGCAGTTACTACCTTATCCTCAGCTGTGGGGCCGCTCCACCCCAGCCGGACAGCCGGAGGGGGTGGGGGCGGGGGCGGGGCCGCGCCCCCTCTCAATTCCATCCCCTCTGTCACTCCCCCACCCCCGGCCATCACCAACAGCACAAATCCCAGCCCTCAAGGCAGCCACTCGGCAATCAGCTTGTCAGGCCTGAACCCCAGCACGGGGTAAGTGGACAGCCGTAGGTGGGGTCGGCATGGGGATGGAGGGCAGTGGGGAAAAGTAAGGCTGCTTCTGCTTCTTGTGGGAACGACACCCCACTTCTGCCTGGTGGTCTCTGACCCTGCTAATGCTTCTGCTTTGCCTCTTTCAGAAGCACAATGGTGGGGTTGAGCTCCGGGCTGAGTCCAGCCCTCATGAGCAACAACCCTTTGGCCACCATCCAAGGTGCGTGCTGCCTCATGTCACCCCCATTGTCACCAACCCTGCCCCCCTCTCTGGGGCCTGGAGCCCCGCCATTGCTGCTTCAGCCACACCATCCTGCCCCTGCTCACAGCATTGCTCGTTTCTTCATACCCATTTCCGGGGAAGGTGTGAGGGGTGCTGCTGGGAATCTGAGGGGCCATGGGGACACAAGGGGGCACTCGGAAGGTCTTCTTGGACCGGCCTGCCCCCAGCCCAGGCTCTCTCTCTCCCCACCAGCCCTGGCCTCTGGTGGGACCCTGCCCCTTACCAGCCTTGACGGCAGCGGGAACTTGGTGCTGGGGGCTGCTGGAGCGACCCCCGGGAGCCCGGGCCTGGTGACCTCACCGCTCTTCCTGAACCACGCAGGGTTACCCCTGCTCAGCGCCCCGCCTGGCGTGGGCCTGGTCTCAGCGGCTGCGGCGGCTGTGGCGGCCTCTATCTCCAGCAAGTCTCCTGGTCTCTCCTCTTCGTCCTCCTCGTCCTCCTCGTCCTCCTCATCGTCCTCCTCGTCCACTTGCAGCGAGGTGGCAGCACAGACCCCCGGAGGTCCAGGGGGTCCCGAGGCTGGGTCCAAGCCTGAGTGAGAGCCCGCCTGGCCTCCCCTCCTCCTCCTCCGACCCCCATTTGCCGCCCCACCTCCCACCTGGGAAGAGGGTGAGGAGGCCAGCGGTGGGGGCACAGAGGGTCCTAAGAACAGGAGGAATGACAAGGGAGGAAAAGACCAAAAAACAACAACAACAACAAAAAAAACCCAACCAACCAAAAAAAAAAAAAAAGAAAAGAAACCAACAAAATAGAAAACCAAAAATAATCACACCAGAAGCCAGCTGCCCCAAAGGAACCACCAGAGGTGAAAAAACAAAAACAAACCAAAAAATCAGTCTCGAGCCAGACCTCAATGTGCTCACCCTCACCACCGCTATGACGCCAAATACAAACCCAGCCAGGGGCAGGGAAGCCTCTGGTGGGGGCGGACCTCATGCCCAGCCCCTGGCGGTGAGGCTCACCCCCAACCTTGCCTCCCCCAGCAGGGGGGGGGGCAGAGAAGGAACGCTAGAATGTGCCAGCTTCGTGGACCATCGAAGACAGGGCACAGCCCAGGCAGATGGGGTGGGGCTCAGAGCCACTCGCCAAATGTTCTTTTCCAGAAGGTGAAAGAGAAAGGGCCTGAACAACCTTACACCAAATATTCAGTAGCTTCATCCAAAGGATGTACAGAATTTTTAGCGTTGCGCTCAACAGAATGTGTCCCTACCCTGTGTCCCCCTCTCCCCAGCCCCTGGGCCCCCAGCTCTCCCCTGCCTGGGCTTGGGGTCTTGCTTGAACCTCCTCCCTCCTCCCAGCCAGGGGAGAGTTCAGGGACGCCTGGGGATGACACACCCTCCACCCCACACACCTTTCCTTCCCCAATTTCCTTTAAAGGGTGGGCTAGGCCAATTTGCCAAGTTCTAGCTCTTACATGTCCCTCCCCCACCCTGGCTCCCTCCTCTGCTTTGGAACCAACTCCCCTCCCCAGCCTGTGGGAAGGTGAAGTTTCAGGCAAGAGGGATGGGTGAGGGCACTCGAGTTGTCTTTTCCATCCTCGTCTGTCAGTTTCCCTGAAAAAAAAAATCATATTCCAGTGCCTATCCGTGGGATCCTTCTTCACGTTCTTTGACATCAAACAGAAACCAAAAAGAGACTCACCTCTTCCCATCCTGTGTCCCTGCTCCCCATCCTGGCAGATGCCTCTTCCCGCCCCACTCCCACCCCCACATGTACACACGCACGCACCCAGTGTCGAACTTCCTCGAGATGGTTTCCCTATCAGGGTCTGTTTGGTGGAGATAGCGCCATGACCCGTGGTCCCTTTTGAAGAGGGTGCCATGGTGGCCACCACTCCCCACAAGAAGTCCCTGGAATCGTGGCCAGACCCTGTGTTTGCCCAGCCCTGGACACATCTCGACGGTGGACAGAGACCTGGCGTCACTGGGAGCCACCTTGCCCTCCTGCTACTGTGGAGGTCAACAAAGTTTTGAACCAAAAACAAACAAACAAACAAACAAAAACACAACAAAAAAACCCAAGTAAACAAACAATAAATTAAAACTAGAAAAAAAAAGAATTTATATATATATATATATATTTAAGGGAAAGAAAATGAGGACTCTTCAAGACGAAGAGGGAGCCGCAAGGTGGAGCCAAACCCTGCACCAGTGGTCCAGGCTGTTGGTCCCCGAGGCGGATGGAAGGAGGGATGCTTCTTTCTCTTCACAAATACCTCATGGACGTCGTCTTCGGGAAAGCTGGAGGGGGAGGGGGGTGCGGCTGGGGCAGGATCTGTCCCTCAGCCTGGGTGACGGAAGCGGGTGGGCGGGGCTGAGATAGGGTGTCAGGGATAGGGGTGAATAGCCCCAAACTCCCCGCCTCCCCCCCAATCAACTGAAAAAGCTTTAAAGAAGAAGAAGAAGAAGAAAAAAAAAAAACCCACAGAAGAAAAAAAGGAATAAGGAAGCAAAAAGAATGGATGGAAGGAGAAACGAACAAACTTTCGGGTGGTTGAATTCCTCCTTTGATTCCTTTTTCTGTTCTTTACCGTATGCCCCCTTCTCTCCGTCTCTGTCTTTCTCGTCTGTTTCTCAATCCTTCCTTCTCTCTGCCTCTCTTCTACCTTCTGGTTCTCTTCCATCACCTCTCTCAATCGCTTTTCTTTTTGTGTCTCCTCAAACCAAAGTGGTGTTGTGAATAAAGGACACGAGCCATTGAAATCAGAGTGGAGCCCAGCAGCCTGCCTGCCCTCAGTGGGCAGGAGCAGAGGGAGGGCCTGCTGGCCCCTGAGGCCCCCACACTTTCTGCTGGACATCAGAGGAGAGGCAGATGGAGCCTCTGATACACCCTGGGCCCTGAGATCTCAGCGTTCTCTCTCGTTTCCTTGTCTCCCTTCTCTCACCTATGGCTTGAAACTATTGAGGGCTGGGCTATGGAGACAGCAAAGACTTGGCCTGTGGCAGGGGCTTGTTTGGGCCATGGTGGTGTGGCCGCCTCCCCACCTCTGGCACATCATGTTGGCAGCCCATCCTTGCTGAAATGTAAGCATCTCCATGGAACCAACTCCTGGCCCACGTACCCTACCTCTGGGTTTGTCCTTTTTTTTTTTTTTTAATTTCCTGAAGAGAGAAAGGACTGACAAGAGAGCCTGGGCCCCAGCTCAAGGGCAAAGAGGCCAAAGGCTCCTGGCCCAATAGGAAGGACGTCTGCGCAGAGCAAACTGGAAGGATGTACAACCAAAATCCCCTCCGAGAAGACAGGCAGCATGGAAGGCATGGTGGAGATGACTCAAAAACTATGATTCTAGACCAAAAAAAAAAAAAAGCAAATCCAGGACTCACGGCAACCCACTTCATCCTGCTTCCTCCCCGTCAAGTCCCACCACCTGGGAACTCTCCCCAACCCCAGTGTGGGGGGAATGGGACAAAGAGCAGAGGAAGAAGCAGGAGACAGGATGGGCAGATGCCCTGATACTGGTGGAGGGACCCCCATGCAGCCAGGGGTGGTGGGGGATCCTCCCCATTCAACCCCCATACTGGGAAAAGAAAAAAAAAAAAAAGAAAATTCCTGGGAGGGGGAAAAATAACCAAATCCCAAGCTTTAACTACAGCTGTGAAACCAAATATTGGGAAAGGGGTGGGAGGGAGGGAGGGGCAGGTGAGCCCCAGGTCTCCTCCCTGGGCCCCCCTTCCCCCGAGGACTCGAGATAAGGCACCAAATACCTCATAGAACTTTAATGTTAAAAAAAGGAAACCAAATATCATTGGCTGGAGGCCAGCCAGGGCAAGGGGCTGGGGGGCTGGAGGGAGCCAGGGCTGGGAAGGTGATGGGGGAATTCAGGCCCCCCACCCCCCTCTGTCCCTTCCACTCCAGTCCCCCGTCTCGACTCCGGGAAACAAAACTATCTCATCGTTTTTATTTTGCGATCTGTACAGAGCCTGTGTCCGTGTGTCTGTATGTGTGAGCGAGAGAGTTAGGGGGGCTGGGGATCTGTTTGTGGGGGATGGGGAGGGAGACCCCAGGCCAGGCTCTAATATAGCTTAGATATCTGAAGTGGGAGACCAGAGGCCTGAGGTAGAGAGGAGAGATGAGTGGGTTGGAAAAAGGTAAAGCCCTCTGAATTTCTCTTGTCCCCAACCCTGACCTCTTACTTAAGGGAGGAACCTATAATTGGGTCTGCTCTAATGGCGGGCCTTTTAATCGTGCCAAAAAAAAACCACACAAAAACCCAACAACAAAAAATTATGCCAGTAAACTAAGCCACCTCTCTCTGTTCTCTTCTGGGGAGTGGGGGCTGGAAGTGGGAGGAAGGGATGGGGGATGGGGTGTATGTGGGGGTGGGTAGAGGTGGGGAACCCAAGCCTCTGCAGGAGTTGAAGATAACGTCAGGAGGGCTGGGGGAAGGATATTCATTTTCCATACATCTCCTTCCTGGGGAAGGCCAAAAGAGTGTCTCAATGTTCTGGGAAGATCAGATAGGACTAGCCAGGTGGGGAGCCATCTCTTGGCCTAACTAGATTTCCTCACCCATCCAAATCCCAGGGTGCCTCTCTCTTCCTCTAGCCCAGGGTCAGGGAAACTGAGTGGGAGAATGAGACAAACTGAGCAAGACTGAGACACATGGGCCCCCACTGGTTTCTGAGTGGGAAAGGCTAGTACGAGAGACTAAGGCCTCCAAGAGAAAAAAAAAAAAAAAAACAAACCAAAGATTTAACCATTAAAAAAAAAAAAAAAAAAAAAACCCACAGACAACTCCGCTACCTTTTTATATGTTGGAAAAAAAAAGTGAAAAAAATTAAAAAATAAAAATTAAAAAAAAAACAAAAAACAAAAAACACACATACAAAAAAACTCCAAGCCGCAGTGTTCTCTTCCCCCTACCCCAGTGCGGTTTGAATTTTGACCTCAGCAGTCTCCAAAGCAAGACGACGATGACAAAGGTGGAAAAAAAAAAATGTATATTTTTAAGTATTTGTCCTTGAGATGTTAGCTCCTTGTTCAACAAACAGGAGAGACAAATCCAGAGACGTTGTTGGAACGGAGACAACTATTTACTATATCTGTGACCCCTCCCTTCTGCCTCCTTCCTCTATCCCGGTCCCCCCTCCTCACCCCCAAGCCCAGGGGCTCAGTATTTATTTATTTATATAATTGCAGGGTGACTGGAGGCCTCTCTCGACCACCTGTAGAGAGGGGCTTTGGATCAGGGTGGAAAAGGGCAGGGGCAGGAAGTCTGGGGGAAAAGCAGAGGTCTGGTGTTTGGCGAATCTCTTTTAGTTCCTTTCTGGTCTCTTGATCCAGAGCTACTGCTATCATCTTCCAAATCAGGACTGTACTGGACAAGGTGACAATCCCAACCTTGTAAATATCTGATTGACTCAGCCCTTCCTGGGGTAGGTGTCTGTCACCTGAACGATCAGGATGAAGTAGGAGGTGAGGGTAGATTGGATGAGTGTCAAGTAGCGGACAGAGACCAAGAAATGGCATCCAAAGATTGAGTAGACCCTGGAGTTGATCTGCTTTTCCTTCATTCTCACCAAGTTAGTCCCCCACCCCCAACCCGTTTCAGTTCTGTCTGATCCCTGTGTTGGTGCCCCTCTCCTCCCATCCTGTCCCTGCCCCCCTGTCTCTTCTCGTGGTAGCGGGTTAGCGTTTCAGTGTTCTTTACTCCAGTCGGCTTGTTCATTGTACAATGTGATTCTTTTAAGGCCTCATTTTTGTAACTTGAGTGTGTCATTCATCTGAACAACAAACATCAAAAAATAAAAAATTAAAAACTGTACAGAGAAAGGATGCCTGCTCTTCCTCAGTCTCTTGACTCTTGTGTCCTG